TGATATCCTCCTCGTCACTACCATCGTCATCACCTAAGCGAGCCCGATTCGAGAGCAAGCCATGGAGCATCCGCTCAATCACGGCTTGATTGTGGCCTGCTCTGCCTCCAAAGGGTACGCCATCATCGTCGTATTCATCATCACCCTCGTCGTCAGGAAGCTGCTGGTGCCCTGGATATACACGATCGCACTCAGTACACCTGCCATCCCAAATCTCGTGCATACAGTCGAGGCAGCGGTAAATGCCACCATCTTCCTGGTCGTACATTCCCATTTGCTGAGGGTCGTTGTCTGCGGGAGGAGGTGGAGGATGTGCCTGACCGAAAAGATGAGGAAAGAACATATCGTGATGATAATTGCCTGGACGAGCACGGCGGAAGATGTTGTACCATGGGTCGGTGTTGGTGTTGGCATTATTTTCGGCATTGGCGTTGGCAGGGGCAGCAGGTGGAGGTACAAGTTCGACCAACTCACTACGCACCAAACTCTGTACCATACTCTTGATACTCCAGACCTCAACGGGACGTTCAAGGACCACCGCACGGCAAATCGGACATGTCTTTCGTTTCACTAAGTGTCTTCCTGCACGTCCAGCGGCACCATTCAAGATTACGTTGATGTTATCCTCAGGCGGAGGGTCATTATTGCCGGGTGGTGCCGTGAACCATCGTACGAGGCACGGGTAGCAGGCAACATGCCCACATGGCGCAAGGGCGAACGGCTTGTGTAATAGATCCAAGCATATTTGGCACATGAGAGATTGGTGAATGGACGTGAGGTGGATTTGATGTTTTGTGAGTAGCTGTAACAACGAAATGAGGATATGAAGATCAGACAAGTGGATAGAAGCATACGACACTCTGTGCTGCTAACTGCTCGGTCAGACGTGCGATTTCCTCCTGGGTAGCATCACTTGAAGATGTGTTTAGTTCTGAGACAGTCGTAGAGGTGGAGGGTTGCAATTCAACGGCAGGCAGTGTGATACCGTGACGGGCTATGAGCGGAGGTTCAGCAGATGTTGCTCTGCCTTTGCCTTTGTCAGATGACTATAGCGATTGGAAACATCAGATTTGAGTTTTTAAAACGTTTCATGTCTACTCACAACGGTGGTCACTAATTTCCCCTCGTCTTTATGGACAATAATTTCCGGCATTGACTGCGTAGTGCCGTTAACTGCTGTCATGTTTGCTGTTGACGCAGGCTTCACGCTGGGTGAGAGCGCAGAAGCAGGGGCACTTCCTGACTTCGACCTCGGCCTCTGCTCAATTTCCGTAGACACTACCGGCAGTTTCTTTTTCTTCTTCTTCCTCTTGGCCTTCTTGTTGCCATTGACTGCCGCGGTTTGTGATATAGGGCTTTCTGATTCCTGCTTCATCTTCTTAGCATCTCTGGCATCGTCTAGCTCCTCTGTGTTAGCTCTCTTCTTTATGTTGAGATGTTGCAGAACAGTAGTGCTAGATCCTGGCGTTGGCTGACGCGTCGGCATGTCGCTGTCGAAATGAGCGTTACTGTTTCAGAAGAGAATAATGGAAAGCTCAAGGAACAAGGTCCACAGGCCGAGTCAAAAGCCGAGTCGTTGGAAAAGGTAATAGTTCACACAACATCACGTGATAGAATGACAATATTGATTGGGCCGCTTTAGCTGTCTCGGCCTCCTTCCTCCTTAGTATACATAGATAAGTATCTATCGTGGTCTAATGGCTACAGCAAATGGCAAACTACGTCCTAGACTTTTAAGCTACACTGTTCCGACTCTAATTTCATGTCGACTTATTTGGATAAAATAATTAGGAAAATTTATAACCATTTCTCCTGCTACTCTCTCACTTCTCAGAGTTGGCTTTCTCCAAGCTGAACACCGCCGCAGGGCACTTGAAGCTCTCATAAAATTTATTCAGAAATCATCATTAAGTATTCTTGAGGCGTGCTCGAATTATTAGCCACGGAAATTTCAAATTTGGATAGCACTCCGCCAATTAATAGGTTGGGTCCACATATCGAAGCGTGAATAATAATAATAATAATAATATAGTATTTTATCTTTTACTAATTTGTGTTGAAATGAATATATTTGATGTGCCTGTTGGCATCTACTTAATTTTAACGACCAACACATATATACTGTATGGACGTACTAATCGCCCTCTTTCACGGGGTAGTTTTGACAGGGGCACATTGAATTTCAAATAATATTCCCTCCGCGGTGGTTCTCAGCGGATGGTCGCGGATATTTCACATCTTGAGGCCCGTTCTGTATCCTAACATCTCCTAAACTTATATACTTTGTCGAAAGGTCGGCGCGTCATATTTACAGCACTTGTGTAAACGAGGGTTGCCTTTTTAATAAATTAACTCACGTTCCGGTGCGGATCGGGAATCGGATTGGATGTTTCTGTTTCACACATGCTTTTTCGCTTGCCGTAAGATGGATGAGCTCCTCCAAGAATAACTTTCCAGCCTACTCTAAAGCCCTCAAAGCCACGCTGGCAGGCGTCTCAAGAGACATTTCGTGGGCGTTGACTTGACTTTTTGCGTGGTCGAATTCAATCTATAAGGCACGAGACGCGGAGAAGCACATCTACCGGTGTTCAAACTTTTCCAAAGCATTCCCTCATTATCTAGCACCAGCTAACAAGGCTTTCCCCTTCTTGTATGCTCCTCAGGCCTTCTATTCCTCTCTTTGAAACCAGAAAATCCACAGCGCTTTTCGAACTCCATTCGCATGCGCTCGCGAAGCTTACTGATTACTTATCAAGAGCGGCGGGCTCAGTGAGTGAGTTTGGGTTTCATTGTTCACCCCATGTCTTCCACGCAGGTTGTCGTTGTTCATGACGCCCTCTCACCAGGGGAGAATTCCGCTGAGGCCTACAGGAGCTTGGAGGAACGACATTCTACAATGGAACTAAATCCGTACGCGCGCTCTCGCTACGACATGAAGCCGCCCAAGTCGCCCACCATGCAAAGCCGTCTCCGTATCTCCTCTCTACATCAACGTGTCTATCACACTGACCAACCTCTTCAATCTCCTACCCACCACTCAACTTCACCTCCGCCCTCTGCATCAGACTCTTTGCCACCATTTGCGTTACCAAGTCCCTCATCCAAGTCCAAATTTCGTCATCAGGAGCCCTCGCCCGCGCTCTGGCTTGTGCTCTACTTCACGCTCAATCTTACGCTCACACTCTACAATAAAACTGTCCTAATTCACTTTCCCTTCCCATATACTCTAACTGCTCTTCACGCTTTCTGTGGCTTTATTGGTTCTTCCATCCTCCTTCGCACGAAAAATGCAACAAATGGATTCCGAATAGGAGGTTTGCGCCCAAGCTTCCTACCCAAACTCGACAAACGAGAGACTTTGGTGTTATTCTTGTTCAGCATACTGTACACGGTTAATATCGTGGTCAGTAATGCCTCATTGAGGCTCGTTACAGTCCCGGTATATCATTCAATTCTACGATGCCCTAAACCCCCTGACTTATGTTTACGAAGTTCCACCAGGTAGTCCGCGCTTCTTCGCCTTTCTTCACCATACTTCTCTCCTACATTATTCTCCATACTCGAACAAATCGCACTAAACTCGTCTCTCTCATCCCTGTCGTTGTGGGTGTTGGGTTTGCGTAAGTCTACATAATTATTATGCATATACATGCAGTAATATCACCCACTAGCACGTACGGGGACTATTATTTCACTCCAGCTGGATTTCTTCTTACTCTTCTAGGAACCATTCTTGCCGCTTTAAAATCCGTGATTACCAACCTCCTGCAATCATCATCTCCTTCATCTTTCCCGCATCCATCTTATCCAATCTCATTTATATCATCGCCAATCCTATACCTGCGAACGCTTCCAAAGCTTACGTTCACGCCTTTACATCTTCTCTCTCTTCTGTCTCCGTTAGCATTTATCCAGTCTCTCCTTCTGGCTTATCTGTCTGGGGAACTGGGGCGGGTACAGACGCATTTTTACACGTCAGTCGTAGGAACCGCGCGGATATGGCTCCTTCTTAACGGTATTCTTGCATTTCTTCTGAATGTGGTGAGCTTCAACGCCAACAAGAAAGTGGGAGCGTTGGGGATGAGCGTTGCAGGTGCGTCTGCGTTTATCCTTTCTTGCATTACAAACTAAATGGCTGTGGTAGGCAATGTCAAACAAGTGCTGACGATTCTATGTGCTGTTGCGCTTTTTAACTTGAATATAACACCCATGAACGGTATAGGAATTGCACTCACTCTTTTTGGCGGAATGTGGTACGCACAGGTCGAGCTGAGAGAGAGGAGCTTGAAGCTATGATAAGCTGAGTTGTAAATCAGAATGTATGGACGGCAATAGCCTATAATAGTGAACTTTATCTCGTAGGATAGCATTGTTCTCAATTGCTCGATTGACTAGCAGGATAATACTCGTCTTCTGTTAACTCAGTATTAGAGCGCGTCGCTTGCATTCCGAGGCTCCATAATCAGTAAACTAACTGAGGTAGTGTCCATAGAGAAATCCGGCTTGTTCGTCTGACAAATTTTCGAAAGGTAAGTGGTTTATTTGTGATTAAGCACGAGCTTGGAGAGAAATTTATTTCTAGGTACCCGTGCTTCTCTATCAACTCCCCCTTAACGTCTTCAAACGATTATAAATTTCAAAGACAATGAGTGGGACAAATAAAGAGACTATTACGTTATAGTGTACTCAAAATTTCAAGTTAATTCAGTGTTGATGCCTCCTGGTTCAGCGGTAGAGTACACTACTTGAGTTCGCCATGCCGATCAGGTGGCTATTTCTTGGTTATTTTACTGCACCTTCCTAAAAGCTCAGTGTTATTTAAGAGATTTTGCGTGGTTGTCCCTGGGTCCCGAGCCTGAGGCCTGGGGCTTCTATCTAAAGGTAGTATACATTCCTCAATTCCTCATAATGGTAACCAGTTCATATTTGATTCTTCTCATACATGGCATCTGCTTTGACCATCTTAGGCCACACCAAGCTTGCACCTCCGATGTTGTATGGCCCTCTTAGCTCAGTGGTAGAGCGCGTCACTCGTATTTCGCTTATGCAAGCGTTGCGCGACCATGATGAGGTCGGTTGTTCAATCCAGCCAGCGGGCATATATAGATTTTACTTACACACTAACCATTCTACTTTTTGACTGACATTTGTGAATTTGACTCCACAATCCGAGCTTGTTTGTTTTATTAGATATCAAATGACACTTCCTTCCAGCTATTCAGTTAGGATGTTGGAGGTGAGAAAACGGTGATACAGCCCTGTCCTGAAATAGTGGACTTGCACAGTATTTGGCTATTGCATCTGTTGTAAAGTTCTTTGTTGTGAGTAAATTTCAGTGAAATAATTCAGAGTTCCAGACTTATGAGCAAGGCTAAGTAAATTCAAATGTTATTTCATTTGCACCTGTAGTTATAATTTGATCAGAATCTGTGGCTAAATCCTCGAGGGTTTGAGCACGCCTATTTCGGCTGATTTATTAGCAGGAAAGACCGATCAAAAACTCTGCGATTATCCCAATTCTTTCAAGCAGATGATATTGTTAAGGGATTGTGAAGTTATACGCGAGAGTTTTATTGGCTCAAAAACGGGCCTGAATACCCAGGAAATGATCCATTCTTGGGCTAGGTTCTGCGAAATGTCTTACCTCTCATTATTCCCTATGGTTTTCAAAAAGTCTTTCTTATGCTAGGTTTGGCCCCTCTGGTGATAATATTGTTCGAGAGAAATGCGCTCTACTATCAAAGATACTCCGTCACAGTTGACATCAAACGTGGGCTTTCAATTAATTCTTATGTCAATATAACTTGACAGTCCCATCTTATTTTAGGATGTTCAACATATCTTGAGTAACCTGGAACAGCTTTCAAACAACAACTCAAAGGCTACTGCCGCATCGTAACTCGATCTTTCTTCATTCCCCGCGACATATATTAGTTAACTTCCAAGAAAATCAGATATTATGACAACTCGTGGGTACCCCATTTAAACAAAAATAAAGTTATATTTAACAGGAGTATGTCGAGCTGGACCGTCCACAGGAGACTGTGTCTGCTGTAGGAAGTCTTGAAACTGTAAATTTCGAATCAAAATCTTTACAGTAGTGTTCTAAAAAATCCCCGCGACATTCTGGGTCAAAGCTTCAAGATTTTCAAACGTGAATACAGCGAGCAGACAAAAAATTCTGGATACAGGGAGGGGCCTTAGTAAAGACTACTTCTTCGCTGCCCAGCATTGGATCGGAGCCAAGCACGTTCTTGGGGGCTTGACATTCTGTAGCACTATGTAAACATACATCAATGAGAGAACTCTTCGAAAGACTTACGATGAGTGTGTAGCAGCATACTTCGTTCTTCTTGCAATCTTTATCGAATTGACATTGGGGGTATGTATATGCAAGCACGCATGATGCTAAAAGCAATGGGGCAAAATATCTGTTGATGAATAACATGCTGGGAGCTTATGTAAGTCTGGTCTTAGAGCTGTTATCGGGAAAAGAAGGGTGATACGTACGAGCAGGTGTAGAATGAGGTTAAAGCTGTGTCAGAGATATTTCTTGTGTGTTTTATGCCAGAAAGAAATGGATTTACATAATCGTCGGAGGTGTCAAAGGTCCGCCAATGGACTGTCATAATCCATAAAGGCAAGCGAAAGATTCAGTTACATGTCCAAGATTTAATTGCTATGGGTCGAATCAAAACCACAAGCACATATCTACTATGTCGAAGCACACTGCAAATTGGTCATACATTGAGCAGGAGGTACTCCGTGGTTCTAAAGTATAAAGTTAGCATCTATTATGATCGAAAAGTCAGAGACGTACAATGCTCGTATAACAGCAAATTTCGCCCTTCTTGCAGTCTTTACTAGATGCACATTGAGGATATACCCATGCAACTACAGTCGACGCCAAGACAAGTGTGATGAGATACTTTGCGGAGAACATGGTAAGGGTCTTTGGAATAGGGTAAGATAGTGCGTCAAAGGCAATTTAAGATGACGTACCAAGAGGATTATAACTAATAGATGGTGGAGATGTTAAAACAGAAGGAATGCATTTATAGGGATTATGTGCGAAGTTAATCTCACGCATTTGCCAGTAGGCCGATCGGGTTTTGTCCAAGGTACCGTAATCGCAGGGACGGAGAGAATACCAAACAGAAATGGAGTAGATCATCTGAGAGCCGTCTTTCCCCATCCATGCTCCATATTCAAAGAGAGCAGATCCAAAAGGAATACCTTTCAGACTTAGAGGCCCTGAATGGTTGATCCTTGTGGCCCACTGTCATGAATGAAACTGTGTGACCGCTGTGATAGCAATCCGCGAGAGCCAAGACAGAATCAAGGATATGACCCGCGTTGACTCCTTTGGAGTTCAAGTTCGTAACGATACGCATCGCCGCCTTGGATAATCCGGAGGGGCATCGGTATTAAGTGAGTCACATGGGAGTGGATTTATTGAGTATTCTGATTTAAGTACTGCGAAAGTATTGGGGTGCAAAGCAATAGGGTTTCCAGCTACACCGACAAGAGAGTATCGTTATCTACTAGTCAAGAAGAGGGGCCGTAGCGGTAAGAGCGTGAATGGTTGAATTTCAAAATCGAGTTAACCGCGGTTATATTTGGCAATGCTGGTTGTCTCTAACAGGGCTTTAGGAAACAGTTGCGCGATTTGATGTGTTCATCCTTGTACAAAATTCAAGTTTAACAGAACAGTTCTCGTTCAACAATAGAACACTTCAACGTTCTTATTAGTATTCTTCGCTATTAGAATTATAGAGAACAATTGGTCAAAGTTGAGTACTTTCAGCCAAGGTTTCAAATCTCCATCCTTTGCTCCCAAAGTTCCATCACCTTCACGCCCCTGCTCCGGCTGATGTTCCAGCGTTTGACACCCATTAATTGAGGGAGTCACATGCTTGAAGAAACACTGATGGTGCCTCGGGTAAGAACAGCCGCTCAAAATGCATAATTAGTGATTCAGATTTCTCAGACAACTTGAACATTCGTCAGGATTTATAGTTCATATTCATAGGGTAGATTCTAGTGTAGAACATCATGAACGAGGTAACTTATGTGGCGTCACACTTCACTTGAGTCAAACAGAGGGCAGGAGGTACACCACCAGTCTGTAGAGTGTTCATTGAGTATCAGACTTGAAATGAAGTATGTAGGACGTACTCCGCGGTGGTAGCAGCATATTTCACCAGTGTGACATTCCGAGTTATACTGGCACTGAGGATACACCCATGCAGATGCGTACGATGCACCGAAAGCGAGAGTGACAAGGTATTGGATGACGCGCATGATCTAGAAAATACTATTCGATCATCTGAACGAAGAACCAGACCAAAGGCACATACGAAGTATAGAACAAAGATAGCTTCTGGGACCAACATGAACCGTTTCATCCACCTTTATAGACTGTACGGCATATCGAACTTCCATAATTTCCCACCATTTATCAAAGACCTTAGTCCGAACGTGCAGGGATGTCCACCATCGCAATGAATGAGATAGATTGTTGGATCAGGCGCAAAGAAGTTCCATTCTGATTCTAAATTCTTGGGATAAACACGAGAGGCCGCCATCCCCGTTGACGTGTTCAATGCACTGGGCGCGCTGGTCACGGAGGTGAAAGAGAGTCTAGAGGAGAAGTGGCAATTCAGGTCTCGTATCGTATATGGTCGGTGCTTTGATTTCAAAATATAAGTTCTTCAGAAAATGATGTTGGGATATAAGCGAATAGATTTTGACAGAAATAGGAGACTGAGATGAGTGAAGGCACTATGGCGTCCGGGAAGGCTGGCGAGGCGGGTATGCATCTCAGAGAACGTGAACAGGGTCCAACCTGAACCTCTGAAGATGCTTCATATCGAAGTCCGGCCGAATATCAGTAAAAGCTAACAGACATAGATTAGTTGACCAGATTCATAACCTGATGTATGCAACTTACATAAAACACCGATTCATAGAGCGGGCCGCATTACGACGGCCGCGGGGGAACAAGCGCCTGGATACAATGTCCGGAGGTAGTCATCATGTACCGCCTGGGCCTGCTGAAAGAATTGGGGGTGCATATTGCGTAGTCGATATTCTATGTATCCTTCAGCCCCGCAAGTACTGGGAGCTATAGTGCCTAGATCGTCAGCACATAAGAAGCCATGGCTAACATTACTCCATGGGTAGCGAAGGCTGTAAGGCGGCTTTCCAACATTGACAGTGCCAAGATTGTGAGTGGTCATACAATGTCCGTTGGCGTTCTCATTCAAATTCAATTTGATGCAAACCCCGTTTACTGAAGGTACTAGTTCCTTGGGGTTCTGGTTGCTGAACGGACACTCTATGAACCGTGAAGGGGTATATATCTCCGCCCATAACATAAGGCCAGATCGGACGTAAAGAGTCTACCAGGAGTCCAGTAAGAGTGGATGGTATAGCTGTACGCTTCGGCTGCACGGTATCTGCGCATAGGTTAGCAGGTCAGTTGGATGGTTCGTCGCTAGAGCTCCAACAACACCTTGCTACTAGAAGCAGCAACATCCTAACAACACTTGAAGAGCATCAACACCACTACCTACTCAAAACCTTTGCTCGAACGTTGGGCAAGAAGCGCTCGGATGGCGTCTCCTTCAGACTACATCCCAGCTAACGTCCTGCAGGCACAGATTCACTCCGTGAGGAACGTACCAAATAAGAAACAAAGCCCGATGACAGTGCCCCCACCCCGAGCTTCTAATTAAAGTTGTATTCACTAGATCTAAACTTCCAAGTTCTGAGCTCTGTCTAAGTCGCATGAAGAATTCTAGTGGTGCTCTCCACCATGCTCCATGGCAGCAATGTGTCCGGCCTTGCTGTTTTGGTAGTGGTCGGTCTTCTTTGCCCAGGCATAAACTCCGTAACCTGCCAGGAGTTAGTGAACTGTTAATGGATAGTTGAGACATGACGTACCCAGGGCGAAGGGGATGGCGAAGAAGAGAAGCTCTCCAGAGAGACGGCGGTAACCGTTGAAGAGGTAGTTGCGAATAAGGTGGGGAGCAGCCTTCACTTGGTATGGTGATATGCCTGGGCAGAGTCAAGTTTACTTGTTCAGTCAACACGT